GAGGCGGCGGCGATGGCCTTGACACGCTTGAAATAGTCTGGGTCGGCCTCGAACGCTTGCATCCGAAAGAACCTGGGGACATGTTTGGAGTGCTGCTCCGACAGGAAGGCTCCCCTCGGCAGCGGGAGGCTCAGGCGGGTTGCCTTGCCGTTGGCCCTCGCGATCACAACGCAGGTGATCCCCGTGGTGTAGTCGATCGCGCCATTGACCCGAATGATCTTCTTGCAGCCGACATCAGGCAAGAGGAGGGCGGGGAGCGTGACGGGGTCTTGTTGAGCCCTGCCAAAAAAATCATCGTTGTCCGCAAACTTTTGAGCCAGGGTCAGCCTGGCAGCGAACGTGTCCACGTTTGACGCTATGGGGACGTCGTCGCGGACAGTGGCTGGGAGGCCTGCGCGTGAAGGAGCGCCGTCGCCGTCTTTCAGCACCCAGGCGTGGACCTGCTGCGGTCCTCGCGGCCCCTCTGCCAGCACCTGAGTCCTCTCCGCTGCCGGCTCGGCGTCCCACTGGTGGAGTCCCGAAGCGATGGAGAAGACCACTAACGTGGTGGGGTGGGTGACGCCAGTGGCTCTCTTCCACTCGCGCGCCTTCTTGTACTCGTGCTCGGTCTGACAGCTGATGACCACTGCCTTGTCGAGCGTCTTGTCTCGAATGCTCTAAGCGTGGAGCACTGGTGCTCCTTGCCAGGCCAACGTCCACAACCTCAGGTGAGCGACGATCAGAAACGGGTCTTGCGCGAGGTGGCGTAGCGACCCTACACCGCGGCTCACGCGGGCCGCCAGCGCGGCACGCTACAGCGGGGACGAGGGCGTTTACGCGAGGCTTACGCGGGAAGCTTGCGCGCAAATGTCGGTGAACACGACCTCGTGCCCTGGCGGCCCTCCTTTGCCCAACTACCCTCTCCCATGCCACCGTGCTGCATGCAACCGAGACGGTGGGCAATGCGAAGGCCTTCCTTTTTTCATGACACGGTTAGCGCACATGCCACCCAAGGCCTCCTGGACACCAACTCCCACCGGCTCCCGACTTGAACACCTTAGGGGGCCGTTACGGGTACACTAACGCACCGCGCTGCGCTCCGTGCGATCGCGTTTCTCCGCGTCGGCTTCTGAAGACGCTGCGGCCCCTGAGGCAGGTGCACGGCCAGTGCGCTCGCTTGCGCGCAGGCGCCGGCCGCTCGCGGCGTCGCGCCGTCTGGAACGGGGCGCATCCGTCGCCCGCCGACATGCTCACGCGGCGAAGACGCAGGCAAGCGCAATGCGCCCCGACCGCCAGAGCGATCAAATACTGTTGTGTGGCGCAGACGCGCCTGGACACCCCGCCCCCTCCCCGGCTCCCCGGACCCCCGACGTCGTGACTTTTTCGCAACGTCGACCCCCCGAGGTCTGGACCCCTGCCCCAGCACCGGCTCTTCATCCCGAGTCGTTTCTGACGGTCCCGAGGCCCGGTAAGGGCCCTTGGACATCGAAAATGAAGAAAAACCTCCCGCCGTGTTTTTCCACAGCGCGAGGGGGTGTGAGTCCTTCCGTCCTCTGGAGAGGAGGAGGTGGAGGAGGAGGAGGAGGAGGGGGTCTGGGTCGGATTTTTGTTCACAGCGCGAGGAGGTCTGGCTCTGGCCCTCCACCCGCGTGGCACCAACTGCAGGCTGGCAGCGACGACGACCCCCGTCGCCACCAGAGGCGTCGCGCGTCGCGGAGCGCGCTGCGATATACGAGGCCCGCCTGCGCTGGAGCATGCGCCAAGGCGCCCGAATGGTACAGCAGGGGCTCGACTACAAGAAACCTTCCACAAGAAACTCAACCGCGAGGCCCCAGGACAAGGCCTGCGAACGATGGGAAACCCATTGATCGCCAGAACCACCTAGGGAATCTGGCGACCTATGGTTTTTCCATAATTCGCAATTCTGGGAAACCCATAGATGGACGACTGCCCAGGACATCCACTGATTTTTGGTCTGGGAGCGTCACGCTTTCCATAGCAATACCATCGAAACCCAAGAAACCCAGGGCACCCTAGAGGCAAGCAGGGTGTTTCTTGGAATGGGTCTCCACCGTAGCGCAGAACATGGGCACTGGCGCGGAGAACTGTAGATCCCTTGATGCTGAAGCGTCCTTGTCTCAGCCACGGGGTCTTGGTACTGGTACTGACTCCCGCAAACCCGAACGAGAAGAGGCCGGACGTCCCAAGGTCTGGCCCACCAGTCGCGCGATCAGAGCACCCGGCCGAACACGAGCGCCAGCGGTGATGGGCGGCGGCAGCGGCGGTCGCGGAGCAGTCAAGGGGGGATCCGGCCCAGACGGCACACACGCCGAGCCCGGCAGCCTCTGGGCAGACGCGCGAGAGCGGCTGGATCGACCAAAGGGCCGGGCCTCGACAGATATGACAAGGATCATGTTGCTCCCCTCGTTCTTCAGGGCAGCATCTCCAAAGTAATTTCGAGCACCCAGAGCAGTATCGAAAACGTGTCTGCCCGACACGCTGGCGAAGTGTCGAACGAGCATCGCCTCCACGGGCCCGCCACGCGAAAATCCTAGAGTCTCGATGCCCTCTTGGTGCACGATGTTTTTCTGCTGCTCGAAGCTGAGGCAGGCTGGAACATCATAAGACAAGGATGAAGATTGGGGGCGGAGGGGGAAACCTAGAATCTAGAATGGAGCCAGGGACGACGATGACGACGGCGGCTGTGCGTGCGGTACGGCGATGGTAGAGGCTGCACACGCAGAGCCAGAGAGGGACGGACAGCACTGGGCGCAGAACAAGGAGAGTGCTCTGTTTCTCGCCGCTGGGCCCATCTTGAACTCCAGCGTCCGCGTCAAATCCGCTGCGCCCTAAGACTACAAGCTACATTTAGGTCGGGCGTGTCCCCCCACAGGCGGATTTGGGCGACAAAATAAAACATTGGCAAACAATACACAAAAACATTCAACATACTCAACAAAAACCCAACCCCAGACTATTCTTTGAATATTTTTGAATCTTCCTCCTGTAGAAGGACACGCACGACTTAAACCTACATCGCGTGCATGCCACTGTATTCGCCCCAGCCCTTTGCCTGTCCCCGCTCTTCTCGCGGCTCGCATGACGAGTTGCACGAACCCCGCCGCAATCGCTTAGATCCCCCTTGCCTCTGGAGCTCGGGAAGCTCCGCCACTGTTGCTGGCACCGGAGTCGGTCTGAAGAAGCAGGTAGAAGCATGAAGTAGGAAGGTTGATGAAATCAATTGAGGTCAGGCCCTCCCAGATAATAACAAAACACAGCAAACGTACATCGATTCTTGAAGTAGGAAGACGCTTGGAGTAGTCTGGGATCTTTGAATCCAGACATACCTCCTTTCAACGACCGGCGTGTCATCGGGATGAGAGAAAGGATGGGTGATCATGCGCCACTTTCCTGCATCACAGCAACGGTGCGATGCCTTGGTCGTGGGCCATGGGACCAGAGCTAACCGCCCAGGCCGTGCCAAGGCTGAAACCATCCAGCGCTCCACAAGGAAGGGAACGGTCGACATGACTAACCCCCGGCTCTGCAACATCAGTCGAAGCGACGGACTCAGCCAAAATCCAAATTGCAGCACGCCTCCAGGGTTTGCGCAAGTGTGTTCGGGGCGGACCACAAGGGGGATGCACCGGGAGGCCCGGGCACTGGCTGCATGCAGCCAGCTTTGCCAGCGCAAACTCCAGCGGGCGCCAGCGCCTGGAGCGGCCGTGTATCGGCGAAGGCGCTGGGCGGCGGGGCAGACACCGGCCGCACGTGACAGCCTTCGCTTGGCACGAAGGCAGCGGGAGGGAAACGGGTCCTGGCCCCCGATGGCCCTCCCCAGGGACAAGCGTCCTGGTTCGGTTTTGGACCGCCCCAGGGCCCAGGAATGGCCCCTGGGGCAGCGCGGGGAGGGGGGAATAGACGAGGGAGTGAGCCGGCAGGCCAGAAAACGACAGCACGTGAGCAGACAAAGCGAGGCAGGCAAAGGGCCACACACACACACAAGCACACTTTTGCGTCGGCGGCTGGGCAGAGTCACTGCGCGGGCGATGGAAGCGAAACGGGGGTGCTGTCCAGCGAATTGGGCCACCATGCACGAGGGGAGGAGAAGAAGACAAGGCGACGGCCAAGAGGAGGGGTAAACCGGCCAGGGCATACACACATACACACACATTCACATACACACATTCACTAACACATTCACACACACACACATTCACACACATTCACACACACATTCACACACATTCACACACACATTCACACACACACACACACACTCACACACACATCCACACACACATCCACACACACACACACCCACACACCCACGCACACCCACACACCCACACACCCACACACCCACACACCCACACACCCACACACACACACACACCCACACACACACACATATTCACACACACATTCACACATATTCACACACACACATTCACACACACACACACACACACACATTCACACACACACACACACACACACATTCACACACACACACACCACACACTCACACACACACACACACACACACCACACACCCACACACCCACACACCCACACACCCACACACCCACACACCCACACACCCACACACCCACACACCCACACACCCACACACCCACACACCCACACACCCACACACCCACACACACCCACACACACACACACACACACACACACGCCTTGTCCTCCTGCTCCTCTTGGACGCCCCTGCCGAAAGGAGAGCGAGGAGGGAGGCACGGAGCCCGGACATGCGACGTCCTGACTTTTTCGCTACGGGGTCCCTGGAGGTCTCGACCTTTTCCCCAGGAGCTGTTCTTCGTCCTGGATCTTTTTTCCACGGTCCCGAGGCCCAGCGAGGGCCCTCTGAGGCCGAAAAGGGCCAAAAGCCTCCCGTCCTGCTGTCCTTCACGGCGCGATCATGGGCGCGATCATGTCGGGGTGCCGAAAGAAGGGCGCGGAGGGAGGAGTGGAGGGGATGGCCCACCGGGCTCACAGCACCTTCATCTCCGCCAGCTCTGGGGGCGGCTCCAGCACGAGCGGGGGCCGCCGCTCGGGCAGAGGGGGCGGCCCCACCCCCCCTTCCCCAAACCTCCCTGCCCCTCCTCGCCCTGGTCGCTCCTCGCTACTCGCTCCTCCTCGATCCTCCTCTTCCACTTCCTTCTCCTCCTCCATCCCCTCGCCTCCTCCTCCTCCTCCTCCTCCTCCTCCTCCTCCTCCTCTTCCTCGTCCTCCGCGGTCCTCCTCTTCCTCTTTCTCCTCCTCCTGCTCCTTTTCCTGCTTTTCCTCCTCCTCTTCCTCCTCCTCCTCTTCCTCTTCCTCCTCCTCCTCCTCCTCCTCCTCCTTTTCCTCCTCCTCCTCCATCCCTTTGCCTTCTACGTAGCTCCTCCCTGTCGCCCCCGGGAGCGGGCGGTTGAGACGTCCCCACCGCGCATGATCCTGAAGCCTAACAAACTGGAGCTGCTTCACGGATGGAGGGCGGGTGGTCTTCAAAACGTGATGATCGCCCTGGCGCCGCGCACATTCGCCATAACAGCTTGCAAGAGCTTCATGGCTGGAGGGCGGGTGGTTTTCAACATGTGGCCCTCGCCGTAGCGCCGCACACCTTCGCCGTAACAGTTTGCAAAATATTCACTGATGGAGGGCGGGTGGTTTTCACAATATGGCCCTCGCCGTAGCGCCGCGCACACTCGTCTGAATGAGCCTGGCGAAGGACCCAACCATATGCAGTTGTGAACACCGTCGGTGTATGCACCGCATTCGGAGGAGCTCTCTATGGGGCCACGAAACGTGTGAGGGGTGTGCCACAATTTGTCCGGTGGGCGCATGCGAAAGCAGCCGCTGGGGCCGTTGATGGAATTCCCAATGGGGCCACGAAACGCGTAAGAGGTGTGCCGAAATAGGTGCGGTGGGTGTATGAGAACGCAGCCATTGGGGCCGTCGGTGGAGCCCCCGATGGTGCCGCGAAACATGTGATGGATGTGCCGATATGGGAATGGTGGGCGCATGCGAACGCAGCCACTGGCACCTTCGGTGGAGCTCCCTGTGGGGCCACGAAACGTGTGAGGGGTGTGCCGAAATGGGTGTGCGTGACGCATGCGGGCGGTGGCACTGGGGCCTTCGGTGAAGCTCCCTACGGGGCCACGAAACGTGTGAGGGGTGTGCCGAAATGGGTGTGCGTGACGCATGCGGGCTGTGGCACTGGGTCCTTCGGTGGAGCTCCCTATGAGGCCACGCAGCGTGTGAGGGGTGTGCCGAAATGGGTGGGCGTGACGCATGCTGGCGGTGGCATTGGGGCCTTCGGTGGAGCTCCCTGTGGGGCCACGAAACGTGTGAGGGGTGTGCCGAAATGGGTGTGCGTGACACATGCGGGCGGTGGCACTGGGGCCTTCGGTGGAGCTCCCTGTGGGGCCACGAAACGTGTGATGGGTGCACCGAAAAGGGTGTGCGTGACGCATGCGGGCGGTGGCACTGCAGCATGGGGCCTTCGGTGGAGCTCCTTATGGGGCCACGAAACGTGTGAGGGGTGTGCCGACATGGGAGCGGTGGTACTGGGGCCTTCGGTGGAGCTCCCTATGGGGCCACGAAACGTGTGGGGTGTGCCGACATGGGTGTGAGTGACGCATGCGGGCGGTGGCACTGGGGCCTTCGGTAGAGCTCCCTGTGGGGCCACGAAACGTGTGAGGGGTGTGCCGAAATGGGTGTGCGTGACGCATGCGGGCGGTTGCACTGGGGCCTCCGGTGGAGCTTCCTATGGGGCCACTTAATTTCTGTTCGCAGTGAGTTGTCCACTCCACTGCTCGCGCAAACATCCCACCCACCCACCCGCAACTTGGTTTGCAAAATCTCATAAGACCGTGACGGTGGGTACAAAATGGCACTTGGCAACGACAGCGACGCCGACGACGACAGCGACAACGACGATGACGACGACGCCGACAACGAGTACGACGACACCGACGACGTCTCCAACGACTTCGACGACGCCGACAACGACGACGACGACGACGACGACGACGACACCGACGACGACGACGACGACACCGACGCCGACGACGACGACGATGACAACGACGAGGACGATGACGACGCCGACGACGACGATAACGACGACACCGACGACGACGACGACGACGTCAACGACGCCGACGACGACGACGACGACGACGACGACGACGGCCGCGACGACGACGACGCCGACGTCGACGACGACGACGACGACGACGACGACAACGACGCCGACGCCGACGACGACGACGAAGACGACGACGACGACAACGAAGACAACGAGGAAGGAGGGCGGACGACGACGGCGACAACGACGACAACGACGAGGGAGGAGGAAGGACGGCGACGACGCGAACGACGAAGAAGGAGGAAGGACGGCGACGCCGACGACGGCAACGACGAGGGAGGAGGGGAGACGACGACGAAGACGACAACGACGACGACGACGACGGCGACGAAATAGAAGGGACGACGACGAGACGCCGCCGACGGACGACGACGACGACGAGGGAGGAGGAGGAAGGACGACCACGGCGACAACGACGACGGAAACGACCACGACGCCAAAGAGGACGAACGACGACGACGAACACGAGGAAAGACAGAGGACGACGTAGGCGACGACGACGACGACAACGACGCGGGAGGAGAGAGGACGGCGACGACGACGACGACGACGACGCAAGAGCGTGCGCGCACGCTTTTGTTGAATTTCCGTGTTGCGAAACCTTGTGTTTTTGTAGGTATTTTGGACACACGATTTTGAAATCATTCCGAAACCGATGGGTTTTGAAGGTTTTCGGCGTACGCGCGCGACGACGCGCGCGTCTGCACTTCGTCCCCGCGCGTCTGCACTGCGTCCCTTTTGTTGCAGGGGATTCTCGCGACGGCACACGCGCAAGGGCGTTCGACAGATTTCGACATGAGCGCGCGCGAAGCCCGTTTGGTAGAATTTTGTGAAAATCTTGAAAACCGATGGTTTTCTTACGATTTCGCAAGAGCTTTCGCGGAAGCTTTGTTAGCAACTCTGTGTTGCGAAACCCTGTGTGTTGGTATGTTTTTTTTCTTGGAAACTCGATTGCGAAATCCTTCCCCCACCAACGGTTTTTTGAAGGATCTGTATACGCGCGCGGCGACGCGCGCGTGTGCACTTCGTTTCATGTTTTGCAAGGGGTTCGTGCAACAAGTGCTATGGTAGAACAACAAATGTCACCGCATAGTGTTGTTCCCAACCCTCCTGCGTTGGGTACTCGTTTCGAATAGAGCACTGCGGTCGCGTCTTCCCTCCTCCTCCTTCCCGTCCCTCTCCTCTCCTCCCTTCTCCTCCTCCTCCTCCTCCTCCTCCTCCTCTTTTCTCTTGCATCCCTTCTCCTCTCTTCGCTCCTCCTCTTCTCTCTTGTCTCCCTTCACCTCTCAATTTCTGTCCTCCTCTTCTCTCTTGCCTTTTACGTCGCCTGCCCCTCGCCATCCCTGGGGGGCTGCGATCTGTGAAACTGGCGCCACTTTCGAGGGCTGCTGGGGGGTTCAGCGGAGTGACGTCCTACGGGGACTCAGACTCGACCTCGCCATTCCTGGGGGGGCTGCGGTCTGTGAAACTGTCGCCACTTTCGAGGTCTGCTGGGGGGGCCAGCGGGGTGACGTCTTACGGCGACTCAGACTAGACCTCGCCATCCCTGGGGGGCTGCGATCTGTGAAACTATCGCCACTTTCGAGGGCTGCTGGGGGGCCCAGCACAGTGACGTCCTACGGTGACTCATACTAGACCTCGCCATTCCTGGGGGGCTGCGATCTGTGAAACTGTCGCCACTTTCGAGGTCTGCTGGGGGGCCCAGCGGAGTGACGTCATACGGGGACTCAGATTTGACCTCGCCATCCCTGGGGGGCTGCGATCTGTGAAACTGTCGCCACTTTCGAGGGCTGCTGGGGGGCCAGCACAGTGACGTCTTACGGTGACTCAGATTCGACCTCGCCATCCCTGGGGGGCTGCGATCTGCGAAGCTGTCGCCACTTTCGGGTGCTGCTGGGGGGTTCAGCGGGGTGACGTCCTACGGGGACTCAGATTGGACCTCGCCATTCCTGGGGGGCTGCGATCTGTGAAACTGTCGCCGCTTTCGAGGTCTGCTGGGGGGCCCAGCGGAGTGACGTCTTACGGTGACTCAGATTCGACCTCGCCATCCCGGGGGGGCTGCGATCTGTGAAACTGTCGCCACTGTCGAGGGCTGCTGGGGGGCCCAGCACAGTGACGTCCTACGGGGACTCATATTAAACCTCGCCGTTCCTGGGGGGCTGCGATCTGTGATACTGTCGCCACTTTCGAGGTCTGCTGGGGGGCCCAGCGGAGTGATGTCTTACGGTGACTCAGATTAGACCTCGCCATCCCTGGGGGGCTGCGGTCTGCGAAATTGTCGCCACTTTCGAGGGCTGCTGGGGGGGCCCAGCACAGTGACGTCTTACGGGGACTCAGATTAGACCTCGCCATCCCTGGGGGGCTGCGGTCTGCGAAATTGTCGCCACTTTCGAGGGCTGCTGGGGGGCCCAGCACAGTCTGCACCCGCGGCTGACTCAAATGAGACCTCGCCGTCCCTGGGGGCTGCGGTCTGCGAAACTGTCGCCACTTTCGGGGCCTGCTGGGGGGCCCAGCACCAGTCTGCACCCGCGGCGGATTCAAATGGGACCTCGCCATCCCTGGGGGGCTGCGATCTGTGAAACTGTCGCCACTTTCGAAGCCTGCTAGGGGGCCCAGCACAGTCTGCACCCGCGGCGGACTCAAATGTGACCTCGCCGTCCCTGGGGGGCTGCGATCTGCGAAACTCTCGCCACTTTCGAGGGCTGCTGGGGGGCCCAGCACAGTCTGCACCCGCGGCGGACTCAAATGTGACCTCGCCGTCCCTGGGGGGCTGCGATCTGCGAAACTCTCGCCACTTTCGAGGGCTGCTGGGGGCCCAGCACAGTCTGCACCCGCGGCGGATTCAAATGAGACCTCGCCATCCCTGGGCGGCAGCGATCTGCGAAACTGTCGCCACTTTCGAAGGCTGCTGGGGGGC